AATTTCCAATCCCATTTTTTAGCTAGGTTTACTTATATTTGTTAAATTATAATTTTAGATACATAATATTATGCACTTGTTTTAGAATAAAGTGTATACTACTCTTCTCGTTCTCAATTTACTGGTGTGTGAAAAGTCATATTTACATTTCAAACTAACTAGAACATATTTATATACATACCTATAGATACAAGCATACATTATAAACAATTCATAAATGCATTTAATACATTAAATAATAAATAATATGGACTGTAAGTATTTATTATATTCAAGAACATTATATATGTAACAAAGATTGCCTCAAGCAGCAAAATAATATGAACGAATGAATGAATAAAAATAAAAATAGAAATAATGAATGAGCAAATGAACGATGATTAATGTGCTAGAAGAAAAAATCTTAAGTTATACTGTTATCATTACAATTATTTTGTATCTACATACATATATGATCATAAATGTTACCATACTATAACTGTGCCACTGTTACTGTTATATGAATATTTATGAAAAGAAAAATGCTATACACAGAAAAAAAATATAATGTTGTTATACGATAATAAAAAATTTCTTTTCGTAAAATAAAGTAATACACATATACATTTATACAAACAGTAAGTGTAAATACAAATTATAAACAATAAATAAAAATTCATACAAGCGTACAATCATACACACATCTATACTTGATGGGGAAAAATTTCACAGGAAAACAGATTTATTATAAAAAGAGAGTGATAAAAGAATTGTTATGCAAGCAAAGTATTGAATTGAAAAGAGAAAAGAGAAAAAAAAATTATTTTTTCCGCTTTTCATTTTTATTTAAACCAGTTTTCTTCAATGATGAAAATCAAAAAAAGAAAAGAAATAAAAAAGAAAAATTACGACCTTGACAATCATTCAAAAAATGATTTTTACTGTGATGATGAATGTTTGTCTCTCTATTGTATGTAAGTAGATATTTGTGATTCGAAATGGAAATTTCTTTTTCATTTGTTTTAACTATTGTAGAATTTCTTCCTTTTGAATTCTTCTGTTAGAGAGAATAAAAAATTTTCTGAAATAACTTGTTTTCGATATTGCTTTTTTGTTTTGCTCTCTTATTGCTTTGTATTCAGAACAAATATAACACTGTGAACTAGTCTGGGGCCACAAAAGTTAGGAGTAGTTTTGTAAATAGAAATTGAACTCTTTTTTTTGGATGAAGTTGTAGAACTCGGTTATTTAGGAGTAAAAAAACAACATATACATTTTTATACTGATAATTTTCCGTATAAAAATGTCATCTATCGAAATGTCATCTAAATATACGTAGCAAATTTTTTAACTGTATAGCAGTTTGTTATAACGTACACCTCGTTTGTTACATGTATGTATGTATGTATACGTACATTTAGAGTGTTATATACTATTGAATGAAACTAAAAAATTATGTAACAAAATATTTGTAAAAATTCGAATTTAAACTAAACATGTGTATGTTTCTAGGATAAGTTTATTATACCCTTAGAAGGCATGTCATATAATTGATGAAGGTACTTATAAAAAATTTTCAATTCTAAATGCCCATGCTATACGTGAATCAAATTCTTAAGTATGAATATATGGTCAAATAAAATGAATAATGATAGAAAAATGAAAAGTCGTGATAATTTTTTTCTGATTTCGTTTTTTATAGGTAAGTATGTACTTATAAGTAGGTTATATGTATACATATAAATATATTAATAAATCTTATGTACACTTAAATAGTCATTGAAGATGATAATGATGATGTTAGTAATATAACGGTTCATAAAATCATTGCGTGAAGTGATTTTACAATATTATGTTTTTCTCCTTCTAACAGTTTTCTTCAACCAACGGATTGCCATATCTTAGAGAATTTTTTTTTTTTATTTATGTATAATATTTTATTTACGGTTCAGGGGATTCGTTTTGAAATTTTATGTGAAATAATTTTTCTTCATGTGAAATGAGAAGTTGAACATAAGTAAAATGTAGTTAAATTTTTTTAAATTTAAAAATTTAGGTTATAATATTTTAAATTTGATGGAATTTATTAAATATTTAATAAGATTTAAATTGCATAAAAGAAGAAATGTATAAATTGTTTTGGGATTAAAAATTCACTCAATTTTGCATTGCTTTATTATTCTTAATTAGAAAACGTTTTTGATTAAAGAAAAATTTTGATTAAAAAAAATTGCGTGCCGTGGTCTTGATCGTAACAAGTTCGAAGGTTTATAACAAATGACCACAGTATTGAAATTATTAATTTACAAAATGGAGTGAATTTTTTAAAATTTTCATTCAGTTACGTATTGTAATTTATTAACGTAAGCTTAAAATTCTCGGAAAATCGTAAATATCGTAAATTTTCTCCTTTCTAATTTACTAGCACTTACACATAATTACCATTTTGCAAGCAAGTAGTCAAAAGTGAATTCTTGAAATAATTAAAAATATGAGAAAAGTAAACGTGATTTAATTGTTAAGCAATAAAATGAAAACAAATTAAAAATTTCCTATTGTGAACCAAAAATTTCAATATTAATAAATTAAAATCGAATCTATCAAATATTTTTTTTCCACAAGATTAACTTTAATGGAAAATTTTTTTCTAATCAAAAATTAATACAATAAATTAATGTGTAAATAATTTTTCAATTAATCGTTCGTCTGTTTCCTGAGAAAATTAAAAAGCGACAGCAGCGATGAAATGTCAAAAATAAAAAAAACAAAAACATAAAATGGAAATGGAAATGTAAGATTTTTGTCGTATTTATTTGCTTGTTTTTTTACTGCTCAAAACAAAAACTCACGCTTTCTACACACATTTCGTGTTTTTATTTTCATTTTCTTACTTTCTTCTATTTTTTTGATTAAAAATTTTGAAAGAAAAACTTTTGATGACAATAAATAGAAAAGTCACCATTAGCATTGTAATTGCCATGATTCTATATAGCCTACATTTTTTTTCCATTTTAATTTCTCATTATTCTCTCTTAAAGTTTTTTTGTTTTCTGTGTTTGTTTTGATATTTAAGAAAGCAAACAATATTAAAGAGGAAAAAAAATAGAGATTAAAACTTTCATTACGTTGCTTTCCCGATAATGAATTTTTTTCTAAATTGACAAGTTGTTTGAAAATTATCAAAAATTGAAAAAAAAGTAAGTAAAGTAAATTTTTACGTTGAACTTTGGATAATTTCTCGAGCAATTTATTGGAAATGCTAATCATAGCACACTTTATTAACAAGGTGTAAAAATTAATTTTAAAATATATTAGAACTACATTTTACAAGTAGATACTTGTCATAATATTTTCTTCGGCTAATTCTTCCGCCTAAAAACAACTATTCCTTGTAACTTGTGTCAAAATTTTATTGCTAATATTACAAGTTTTTTTAGTTGTTCATTTTTAAGGAAAAAATTTCAATAAAATTTTGATATTTTGCACTTTTAACGTTTTCCTAGATAGAACCTAGCAAATTTATATTATTTTTTCTAACCTTAATTTCTATCATTAGAAGCAAATATTTAGTTTCGCCGTATTCCATTATGAATTTCAAATGATACATATTCTCAGATTCTGAACCAGTGAGGCAATGAAAAATAAAATAAAGCAAAATATAACGGGAGAAATTTAAGATGAAGACAATGATATAGAATAGTTAACACAAATGCGAAAATGTTCAGGATTTCATGGAAATCAATTATGAAAATTATCTAGACAGATTCAGGACAATTTAATCATTATACGGTCTCAAAGAGTCTGCGAGGGGATGAAAAAAGAAAATTAATAAAAAACAAAGAAATAATGTGTTTTTTTTTGTGTCTCTAAAATTAATAATAAATTGTTGAAAAGAATTGAAACGCTTTAAAGCTTCTTCAATCCTTGGCAATTATGAAAAATTTTAAATCATAAAATAAAAAATTTATTATGTATGTAATATGTATGTATGTATATGAATTCGCTTAAAGGAATTGGTTATAAGGCTCAGCTGGTATACATAAATTAAAGAAAATGGAAGATAAAAATAAAAATAAAATAATAGAATGGTTTGCTTTAAGGCAACACTTTTATTCACTGAATGCGATGTAAATAAAGTGGACTGAGGATGAAATTTAAAAAAAAAAATTTTTAAGTAAAATTTTGAAATTTAAAAAAATAACACAAAATTTTGTATCATGGTGTGGTAAAACTTAATTTTTCAAAAAGCTACTTAATTTATACCTCCGTTCAACGGTTGTATACAACCTTTTGTATAAAAAATATAATATTCTGTAGATTACATGCAGTATCGATCTCATAATATGCAAAATAAAATTTTACGGTGCATAGGTTTACTAAATACATACTGCTATATAAAAGTAACCTCATATTTAAATTACTCGCTGTTTGTTATAATATATGTACGTATATAGTACTTTGTTTCATTACAAATTATGGAATAAAACCAGGATCTACTGCAAATATATGAGAACTATAGAAAAAATGTGTGAAAAGCAAGTTCTTTGAATAATATCTAAAATATTTTAGGATTGTACAGCAGCTTGCCAAATTTGTCAAGAGATTCCATCTTCTAGAATATATTTGATCTACAATTGGACACATGGCTGTCAAATTTTATGCTGTTAGCTTTTTTATTTTTTCAAATATTTAAAATTATGATTCGAGCTTTATCATGCGATTGTATACCAGGACTTGTTGTTCGAATTTGTCAAATTACAATAACAGGTGTCCTTGATCGATTTTTGAGTGATCGTGCGATCAGAAGGACGAATGGATAGATATGTGTAAATCAACCCAAAATTTTACGATTTATGTTTAAGTAAGAACATATGTATTCATACGCTATACTACAGATGACATTTTCAAGTGGTTAAAAACACCCTATAAAAATTTGAATAACTTTCACTAAGGCGTAAATAAAGTATAAAAGTGAATTTCTTATAACAATTTAAAAATTTAAATTGAAAGTTTTTACTTACTCTGGATGTCTTGTATCTGGAATTTCTCTATTACTTGGTAATGAATCACTTGCTTTCTGATTAAAACGATTTCTTACATATGGATCTTCACCAAAACGTAATGCACCACCCTTAATATAACCGGCTTCATCAAAATAATCCCATGTTGTTGCTGATATTAAATTACTAATACCATTTGTAAGTCCACTTAAACCAAGACCACCAATACGTCGTGATGATGATTGAATAATAATGTTATTACCATCAATTTGTACACCTGCATCGTCATTATTATTATTATAGTGTCCTTGTTGATGATGTTGTTGTTGTAGTAGTTGTTGTTGTTGTTGTTGTTGCAATCCACCGTCATTCGATAAAAATTGAAATTGTAACTGTTGCCGTTGCTGTTGATATTGTTGTTGATATTTTAATTTAATATTATTTTGTTCTGATGTTGATGATCCAATTATTGATGATGAATCATCAGAATACTGTTGTGGTGCTGTAGCTACTTCACGTAAACGAAGTGCACGATTTTCTAACTGAAAATTTTATTAAAAGAAAGAGAAAGAAAAATATATTTTATTAACCCATATATGAATAGTATGAATGTATATATTTTTATGTATTGTATATAATATATTATTAAGAATTCAAAGTGTATGTGGATATGAATTTGAGAGTTATACAATCAAATAAGTAACAAGAATTACAAGAACTCAAGTACATAATTGAAATTAAAAACTAATTGAAAATAAAAGAAGAAAATTGATTTTTTGTGAAAATTGAAATATTGTGGTAACATGATAACATAATACTTGTACTTATAAAAATAATAACAATAAAATATTTTCTCTTAAATTGAACAATATTATATTTTATATAATACTGTGCAGCTTGTATATATTCTGTTCATACATACATATTATGTTTTTGTAGTATATATAAATGATTTATTTAAATTGCTGCAGGATATCATTACTACACAACATGTAAGAGCAAGAGTTTAACTATTATTGCCAAAGAGAAAATTAATTTATAAAATATAGATTTGATCAGTTTACTTTCTACAGGAAAACCATTAAATATTTTGTTTTAAGGATAATAGATAGTTTACATACATACACATGTAACATATAATAATATAATGTATAAATAATATAATGGTATAATTGAAATTACGGGGAAAAAATTACTTAAGGTCCATTTACAATACTGTAAGATTGCCCGAAACAAGACTCGCCATCGTTTGAATCATTCGTTCAAACATTGCAATTTAATATTGCAAGTTTGAAATTATCTGTAACATAATACTCACTAAGAAATTTCATACCAATTTGAATATATGGAAAAAGAAATTATCACTTTCATCTGGAAAAACTTTTGAACTCCTAAGTGAAAATTGCAATATATTTTCCATACTACATTTAAAACTTTCCATGAAATTCCGTTGAACCGGAAATTTCTATCAAGTTTCGCTCCTCGGAAAATATTTAATTTGAGCAACTTTTCTCGTTCCTCAGAGATTGTCATAAATATTGTGAACGATCCTTAAGTTGAATATTCCGGTTTTTAATTGTAAAATTTCACCTAAAAAATAAATTTTAAATATAAATTTTGGTCTAAAATCCTCAATGCTCAATGTGAAAATTTCTACACAATTTTGATGAAAAAATTCATCCTAAGTTCTTCAATAGAGGATCCCAGATTTTTTAACAAAGATTTGTTTATTTTCATTTCCAATTAAATTATTTTATGAATTTCGATAAAAGTTAAATTATTAAAAATATTTTGAATATAAATAAAATTTTTTAAATTATTTTCCACAAAAATTTTATTATGATTAATGCATAACATTAAATTTTTTTTGTATTTGCAATAATATATTCAATATCAGATTATTAAACATATCATTTAACATTTTATTGTGAATATAGGCCCCTAATATAACATTTAATTCACCTTGTAACAAAAATTCCAGATCATTTCTATTCTATATGCACCGAATGGAGACTGTACTATAACACTAATTAATTGTTATATTTATTTCCAAGGAAATTTTCTTATACCATTAAAAATATTAGCATTACAACAATATTTTATAAAATCGATATTAGAGTGAAGTTGTTTTGTTCGTAATCCTAGTTATCATTTCAAATTTTTCCTAATTAAATATCAAGTGTCTGATAAAGAGTAATTAGATATTTTGGAATACTTTGTGAATTTAATTAGAAGTAGTAAAACTCATTTTCAGTTTAGGGTGAGTAGAACACTGAATAATTTAATATTTCTTCTTCAATATGTGAACAGTTGAATTTATAGTCTGACAGAACAATTGTGAAAATTCACAAATTATATGAAATTCATAAATTTAATATAGGCGCAAATTTATAATTTACAAATGTTCTAAAAACTAAAAAGAATCATTCATTCATAATTATAAAGCCAATTAAAAATTTTTATGCTTAATTAGTTACATTTTATAAATTTCTAAATATAGGTATTAATTTACAATCTATCAGTGCTCAATTGTATTAAAAGTTTTATTTTTTACAATTGCGAATATTTATTCTTGCAGATTTTTTTTTTAAAGTTGAAAAATTTCAAATTTTTGTATTGAATTCAATAAATTGAAATCTCATTATAAATGTATAGAAGAAAGAATTTACTTTCTTTCAAAAAATTTCCGCATTATTGATTGTTAAATTTAATTTTAAAATCTAAAGCCGAATCAATTAAGAGATGGAATAAAAAAATTACCTAAAATTTATGTTTAAATTTCTAATTGAGTCTAATTTTCTAATTGAGTGAAATTTACTATTTTAAATTTCCACCAAATCAAATTTCCTTTGAATTTTATGATGATTTTACATTAAAGGAAGGTATGAAAATTAGAAATATTGAAACACTGTCTTATGCATCGATCAATATTTCAATATTTTAAACGAAGCACATGCTAAGCACATTTTCTTTTTTATATATACAAATTTTGTTTACAAAATGTCCTCATACTTTTGTATTTTTCTAATATGTCACTGTACTATATGTATGATAAGCAATGATATGAAAATTTTTTAATAAATTTCTTATTTTTCAATTTTGAATATTTTTGTTTAGAACTCTGGTTAGTCCATGTCCACATGAGAACTCATGTATTTATGTAATTATACCTATGTATAAAAGTAATGTATGTAAAACATTCTGCATTGAAATATTTTGTAACCCACATATGATCAATAAATTGACGATATTAAATTAAAAAGAGAGAAAAACAAAAATCGAATTTTATGCAAATATTTGATTCACTTGTTTGTTTTCGATTGAACACTATATTTTAATTTTTTCTAAAATGAATTCTAGAAAAAGTAAATTGTTAGTTAAAATCCTTTTTTTTTCTAAGAAAAACAAAAGTCCATGTGCAATATTATTGTTTACAACTACATACATTTATTTTAATAGGATTTGTGGCACACAAGTATGCATATACTATAAAGGATTAGGGTTATTATACTTTTGAATTAAATAAAAATTTTGAAACTTTTTTCTTCAGAATTAATTTAATAAAACAGATTGAGGCTATTGATATTTTTAACACGTTGAGATAAATCAAATCGCTAAAGAGCTTCTGTACAAAGAATTCTGGCAATTTGTATACAAAAATCAAAAATTTTTGTAGTATAAGTAATTGAAATATTAAGTACACATGTCACAATTTTAAATTTAGTTTTTACTTGGTAAAAATTAAACATTCTTGTTAAAATATGACGACAAAATACAAAATGGTCCGTTAAAATTAATCTTAATCTGAAATAATTTTTTTTTTTCAAATTTTTAATATGTTCCTTTTTCTAGACGGCTACTTGTAAGAATCTGAAACTTTTCGACACTAATGAATAGTTTATTTCGTTAGAAGAAATTTTTCTCCAGGTCCACGGCCTTCAAAATTATTGCCTCTCAAAATTCTTAAAATTAAAATTTTCGGTAACTTATATTTTCGAAACTGCAAGCTTTTTCAAATTTCCAAAAAGCAAAAAGAGAGCGATTAATTTCCAGGCCATTAAAAAGTATAACTTTTTTTCTTATCTCACTCACTTAACCAATCAAACTATTATATTAACGTTTCCTTAAACATTTTTCTTTCGATAATCCCAAAAGTATGCAATATATTGATATTTCTTCGTATATAAATAAAAGTAATTTTATAGTTTTTAAAAGCAGTTTATCACATGTTCAAGGAAAAATTGATTCTTTACAAACCATTGGTTTGGTTCAATTTTATTCCCAATGAAATTGTATGGTGTGCAAATGAACGAGGTTAGTGAACAAAATTAAGTTTCCACAATAAATATACTAGGACAATAATATTAACTTATTCAGAATATTAATGAACATGAATTAATGAAAGCTCTTCTATAAAAAATAATGAAAGTAATTGTGTAATTTTTTTTAACTGATTACTTTACCCGCCAATGTCAAAAAGTCATAGAGTATGAGACTGAATTATTTGGATGCAACATAAAACAAGGTATCCTTTTACACAATATTATCAAAAATATTCTGTTTCTTCAACGCGGAACAATTCATATTCTTCAAGACGGAATACCTTCATAGAAAAAATTTAATAATTTTCTATTTAAAAAAAAAATTTAAAAAGTTATATTTTATTTTTTTTTTTTCTCAATTTTCATACCTCCATAGAATCTGATTGTTCTCCCATGTTTCATGATTCATATTAAAACCACCACCGCATTGTATAGTACGTAAAATAATGTAGAAAGGAAAATGTTACAAAATATTTCGGATTAAGTTTTTCAATTTATTTTTTCTTATTTCTTCTATTTTTACAATATTTTGTGTTCATCATTTTAAACTTGCAAAAATAAAGTAAAATATCTATAAACACACACATATATACATAAAATGTAGAAAGTAAATTGAGTAATTTAATGCTGAAAGGAAATATTTAATAATAAAAATATGAAAATTCTTTCGTGAAATATTAACATGACGTGTATGTATGTAAGTACATACACCTGTTCAGGACATATATGGCATAATTCAACATATAAATTTATTCGTTTAAAGTAAAATGAAAATCAAATGATTCTTAGGAATCATAAGGTGCTTCAAAACTCCAAAATATTTAATTGTGTTATAGTTTTAAATAGAAAACGCAATATTAACTCTGAACAATATTAACAAATTTAAATAAACCTATTCCGATTACTTAAAATAGAGTGTTAGGTACACAAGATCTTTTGTGGGCTTGATTCGAAATCAGAGAATATTAGTTAAGTTGCTGGTTGAAACACCTTTAAAAATTTAAATAAGCTCCTTAATATAAATTTAATTTTTGGAATCCAAATTTTTGTTGTTGGTTTTGTTCGTAAACAGAAATCTTATAGTTGAAATAACAAAAGCTGTTTAAATGTGATCCCTGGTGAAAACTTAACTGTCTGCTGCCTGATTTCACCAAAAAGAATCCATATTGACCAACTGTGACAAAGCTAGCATGTTTTAACAATATTTCATTTGTCATAGGAAACGTATGCATAATTATAAACTAAAATTTAAATATTGAATAAGTTTTATGTTTTAAACGTTCATACAATATGTGAGTGGTTGTATGACGCTATTATCATTATTAAATTTTTTTTTAAAACATATAAAAATACAAAAACAGGTGCCAACAATAACATTATATTTTTTTTTTCAATTTTAAATTATTGCTTCTACCAATCCTAAATCCTGTCACTTCTATTTTGTTCAATCGTCCGAATGTCATGTTATGTAATTTATGTAAGGTGGCTGATGAAAAGCTCAGACATTTGAGTGTTAATATTCGAAGTAGGAATACAGTAAAGTTTTTATATGATTGTTTTTAAGGCTAGAAAGGATAAAACCCCATAAAATAATTCAAGTTAATCATTTTTAATTTAATTTTTTAAATAAGATGTAAGCAACTTTTTAGTAGACAAGAGCCTTTGTAGATGAAAATTATTTTTTCTTGTTGAATTGAATGTAGGTTTAATTATTTCGAAATGCTATTAGTAGAAGAATTTAAAAACTTAAGTTAGAATCTTATTCCCATATAAATAATTATGAGAACAATAGATAATTGTACTTTTAAATATGCGAGCTTGCATTTCTTAAACAGCATTTATATGTAAAAAAAAACAAATTAACTTATTTTCTATTACATAATTGCTTTACATGTCATTTTTTATAATACGAGTAATAGATTTTTGCAATCAATGCGCTCTTACGCATACGATCACATTGTTCTATTTTCAAATGGGTTAAGTACTGCTTTCCATCGTATCTGAAATTCTATTTGTTGTAATATATTTTTCCATTTTATATTTACTTAAAAAGCATTTCAATTTTTAATGAAATTTTTTAAGTATTCTTTTTTTTCTATAACAAAATTGGGAAAAAAACTGCTTATTAGCTTAATTCTTTTTGCCCGTTCGTCAGTCCATGCGTTATAAAATTTTATTGTATTTAAACTACAAAAAATTTCCAAATTCCTTAAACACAGAAAAATAACAACTTTCTTTTCCTGTCGCGAAACATGGTGTTTAAATATTACTATGACACAATGGTTGTTTAAATTAATCGTTTTCTTAAGCCCGGTTTTCTCAAATTTTAGATATCGTTTTTCTCTTATAAGAGGTAAATTGCAGAAGTCTGAACTTTAGCAATTTTTAGACATTAATAAATAATTTAATTATTGATTCCCTCCAAATTATTGCTTTTCCGAATTACCAAAATCTAAAATTAGGGCGGCTTATATTTTCGAACCTTCTTAAAATTCCCATAAAAGCGAGACGATAGCGATAAAATAATGCAATTAACAGTTAAATTCTACTGTTATTTTACCGGTTTTTAGATCTTTTTTTCGAAAAATGCAAAAATTAAAATATAAAAGCTATTCACTTGTTGAAGGGAAAAGAGCTATTTTACAAATAATTGCTTTGCTAAAGCTTTTTTTTAATTTAATCTTTTACCTTGTTCCAGTAATCGATTTTTTTTATACCAAATAAATTAATTTTTTTCTGTGTGCTATATTTTACATATTACAAAGTAAAATATGTACCACTTACATCCATATTGCAAAAAATGCTTTTAGAAATTCTGTTTTCAGTTCTAATACTTGTGTCATAATAATAAAAATTCTTCAATAATAAACAATTGACTAAATACTTGAATTTAGACTAAATAAATGAAAGCATTACTGAATTTTATTAATACGTCCGGATGGGTGATTTACACATTGATACGTCCGGATGGATAATAAGTCCGGATGGCTAAGGGCTAACAAAACTTTTGGTAGAAGTTAGAATAGATGCTTATTCTCTAGTTAAAGGAAGGGCTTATTCTCAGGGCTTATTTTTATCTCAAAAACTTGTTGCGCATTACTTACATTTTTAGTTTCCATTTCAAAAAAATTTCTAATTTGAATGCCGATAATAAAGAATTTTTTACTTTTATTTTTTTTTTTTTTTTTTGATTTGCATTAGAAAATTCTTGAAATTATTTCTGTATTTTTCCTCAAGAAAAGTTGCTGCTTGAGAAAAAATTGAAAAATCTTTTTTTCTCCTTTGAATTTGTTTTGTAATTTCATTAAGAGAATCAATCAAGCGGATAAAACCAACATATTTTTCATTGAAAATGTTTCAAAAATTTTTGATTATGGTTTGGTTTCTTCTTTTCCTTCAATTTCGTAAATTCTTAATTGCTAGAAGAAAAGAAATTTTTTTTTTTAAAATCTTGCCAAGAAATTATTATGATTTTATTAATTTTTTTGGTTTGTTGCGCAAGCCTCATTTCATACAACAAGAACAATTTCAAATATTAATCCTGCATCATTTACGTAATTAGTTATTCAAAATAATACTAATTAAGGTACAAATATGCAAGTTTAAAGTGAAATTGTGTAAAAGGAAATTAAGAGCCTTGAAACTGAGGATTTTCAAGGATGACAGATGAAACTGAAAATAATTAAATTTTCCTTTAAAAATTATAGGTAAAATGTAGGTTTACAAAAAACAATTTTTACAAATTTCCAATGAACTTCCTTAAAAAACAATATTTAATTTGCTGTAGGTAATTAACAAAAACCTTATTATTAGAATTAATATACTAAAAATTACTGGAAGCAAAAATATAAGTACGGAGGTAAATTATAATTCTGTACTGTACAAGTATTTGTGCAAAGAGGGTTTACGTCATTTTGTTGAGTTTTAACTAGAGTTTTATAAATTTTCCCATCAGTGATAATTTCCAAATATCAGGGAAATGACATAGTGAATAAAATAAAATTTTTAATGAAGTCCAATACATTTTAAAATTATTGAAATTTAATATAATATTGTTATAGATATGTAATTGGGAATTAGATATTGCATAGCTAAGCTATAGTCAGCAACAACAATAAGCTATAACAGCAATGTAAATAGGTTTGTATGAGTCAACCAAATATTCTTTAAAATAATATCATTGAAAAAAATAATATTACTAATAACACTAGATTAGATTTGAACACAGTATTGTTAAATATATAATTTTACATTATTTAAAATTAAATAGACAATTTAGTTGTAGTCAACATAGAACAGTGAGATATGAAAGAATACGCAACTGCGTCGAGACTACTATTATTCCATAATTGTGGGCATCGGGCTATATGCAATAACTTTAGATGGGAATAAGGCAACAACATGCATGGGCCACAATCGATATAAAGAGGCTGAATTACTTATTGGATATTGAATTGGATGCCAGAAATAAAAATATACACAATGTCTTTTTATTTTAAAAAAAAAATTATATTATTATAACTGAAGCGTTGGCTAGTTCAAGCCAGTAATCACCAAACCTAATTATCTAACAGAATAACAGATTCTATATTTTATATCTATCCTTGTTGTGATACTTTTAGAAATTATGTATATTATTATACTAATTAGTATATGAAAATTTTAATGTCGTTTTCAATGAAATGGAATTAAGAATTTATTTATATATCATTTGTTTTTGTTTAAATCCGTATTGTTTTTAATAGTAAAATTTAAACTAAAGTAGAAAATGCTTTCCTATATAACTAAACAGTACATTAATATTTACGTAGCTTGGCAATGTTTCAAAATCAAAATCACCAAATTATCAAAACTAAATCATCAATAACATGCATAATATTTGACAGCATTTTGACAATTAAAGGCTAATATAAACCATATTTATTTCGCTTTGTTGTTTTTTACCCGAAAATGAAATTATGTAGTAAGGAAACCTATTTTAACCACAATTGAAAATTCTATGAGTTTTTACTATTTTACAAAAAAATAAAAAAAACTGACACACAGGTAATTTCTGACAGCATTTTTTTGACAATCGAGACACTCAACTATGTGTACATATGTGGGGTATTACGACATGTGCAATGTGCACACGACACCATACAAATTTTGTATGTACATAAAAAAATTAAATCAAAATTTCATTATTTTTTTTTTTTTAAGTTTTCTTGTGAATCTTGTTTTTGCATACCAATAATCCTGAATTGTTTTTAAAATGAAAAATATGATTTGATTGTAAAAATAATGTTTTTTAGATAAATTGCATAATGCAAATTAGATTTTTTTTGTTGTTCGTATTAAAAAAACAACATGACATAAAATGTACACACATACGTTTATATATTATTTTCAAGTA